AACAAGAAAGAAAGGAAGAAAGAAAGAACGAGAAGTGAACAAAATACCAAGGTAATGCAAAATTAATGAAAAAACCTGTGTTTTTCTTCATAGTACGATGAAAAACATTCCTTTTCTGTGAATAATTTATACCACGATTTGTCGTTAAAATAAAAACAAACAAACAAAACGAGCCAGAAAAAGAAAAAGAAGAAGAAGAAGAAGAAGGGAATATTCGTATACAAACGTTATAAGACCTATGAAAAAAAGTTAGCCACTTTTTACAATCAAAGCTCTATTCATTTTCTTGTGGTTTTTTTTTCTTTTTCACTCTTTGTTCGCTGACGAAGTCTAATTTTGCGTGACTCCAAGATCGTTTTACTACAAAATATTCTTTCTCTACCGCTAGACAAAACAAACTAAAAATAACGACAAATAATAAAAAAAATCATTATTATTTATCAATTCATTAAATAAAATCGTAAATATTTCGGCTTTTCTAGTGAGTTTGAAGTAGAAATAAGATTAAAGAGACACGTGCAAAAGTTATTTCCTATCATTTAACCGATCAAAATCACGGCTTAAACCTGAGACTGTTGTATGAAAAACAAGCTTAAAAATCGATATGGCATTATCAGTGATTGAAAACGAGATGTCGGAGGAAGAATATCATATCGTATGCCTTGTACTTCTGGTATACAAGTGTAGATTTGAGCTTTTATAACATAAAATACAACCTATATCTACAACAAAAGAGCAAAAACCGTTTGCTTTTAGACTACAATTCAATGTAAGATTTCATACAGTTAAAAACTGATGAAGCTAAGGAAGAGATTACTTGGCTAGACGTTTTTTAGCTTGTTTTAAGTCCTTGGAGATTCAAACGCCTTAGGGAACGACTAGTTATATAAGTCAAGCGGCAACGAATACCTCTTTAGGATCAACACAGATTCAAAACTAATCTTCAAAAAGAAAAACTTCGTAAACAATGTTGAGATATCGATGAAAATAGTGCGAGATATTCAAATGTGTGTGAGTACAAAGTAGACTGAATCTAGTGCGAAATTGAAGTATATGCTATATGTAATCTTTATTGTCGGCTACCTGCAACCAGTCCAAGCACGTGTCGAGCGACTGTGTGAAATTTTCGTGTTTTTTTTTTTTTTTTTCACCAATCGTTTAGTTATTTTTTCTTGCGCAAAAATTAACACATTTCCGTTAATGGCTCTTGAAGGCGGTGATCGTTTCTCAGACCACGTTAAGTGGGGTCGCCTCAGTGAAGAATAGCGAACAAAACTTGTTGAGTCCAATGTAAAGCGAATGACAATGACAGACATTTTCTGTGTATCTTTTGCWTAATGTTTGAAATTGAGTTCCATGACATCTGGCGCCGGGCAGTCAAAGAAAAAGGATATTACCACCATTTATATATGGACAGCGTCGCCGGTGGTTCGTAGTTATTCCGGGTGTGATTCGTAGACTATGGGTTCGTTGTTATGGTTCGCATAAAACCAGGAACGAGAGAGCCAAAATCAAAGTAGGGGGAAAGGGATGGGAAAGGAAGAGAAAAACTGCCTCAGCAATGGCAAAAAAATAAAATAAAATAATAAAAAAAACCACTATAAAAGCAGTGGAAACGCACTACAAAATCTCCCCCTCCCCCCAAAAAAAATTAGTACTACGATTACTACACCTTTAAATATAAATATTCTACCATCTAGTAGCAGCAAAAAATAAAATAATAAATAATAATAATAATAATAATAATAATAATAATAATAATAATAATAATGAAACGTGAAAACTGGTGGATTAATGTTTTTCCTCTGGCACATAAAAGTAGTTATTTTGATGGATATGTGTGATTTATACAATCTCCTGTTTTCGTTAGCACAAAATGGATCAGCACGCAAGCCAATAACTCAAGTGTTCCCTAATGTAATGGTGTCTAAAAATAGATCATATCATACCACGTGACACACTACACACTTATGCGCATTAAACKTTTGCTTTGGTTTTGGTCTTCTGCACTCGAGAACAATAGACATGATTAAAAGCACATGTTCGATTTCAGGGGTTTTCTAAAAATAGAAAGTATACCACGTGATGGTATATATATATTATATATATATATATATATATGATGTACTTGTAGATATATATAAGGGTCAAAGTTATGCATATGCYGTGTATATATATATATATATACATACAGCCATTTGCAAAAATTATGGCCGTTTCAAACATACATACAAGTATAACAAAAGTATATCAGACACGGCGGGATATCTTCTTGATATTTTTTCAGAAAGCCCTGGTGATAGACAACTCAAAAAAGATATCGGGGATGATATCCCATAATTTTTGCTATATATATATTTATATTAGTAATTACTGGGTTATCTTTTCCATCAAGAGTCCTTTGAGATTCAACGGCAATTAAAATTAGTGACAGAAAAAACAATCAGAAAAGAATTGGTCCGTTTGAAATGCAAATTTCAAATCCTTCAATATATTAAATTGCATTCCTTGTTTGGTTGATTGATTCGGTAGCATGTTAGTCGCACAGATAATGAACGAAATATATGGACTATTTTTCCAACTACCAAAAATATATTTCCTAGCGATTTAACGTCTTGTTAACTGACTGACTGAAATTCAATCTTTTGATCTCTGGAACCAAAATCTTGCGGTAATAATTTACACTCTTTATTCTTTGTAATTCATATTATGTCGCTATATATCATTGTAAACCGTCCTTTATATAATAGTAATATCAAAACATCCAAAACCTCTGCATATTTTATCGTTATAAAAGATTTTATTTTTTTCCTAATCTCCTAAATACTCGGAATCCTCTAGGTTTCTTGGTACCCAWGTAACTCACAGAACATGCCGTATTTATGTCTTGTGCAAGCGAGTAGAAGATAATTGAATCCTAGCCCTTTGGTAGGCGTTTTTGGTTGTGACCTGTTGCCAAAGATCACAGTTTTTTATCTGAATTTTAATATCTTTTAAGAACGGAATGATTGTTTTATTAAGAACGAGTATAAAACAGGCTTGAATCCTACTCGAATATATGAAATGAGTCCATCAACTCTTCAATTTTGTTCTCTGTTTATACTGAATCTTGTATTGTTTTCTGGATTAGCGTTAAATGGYCTAGTAATTGTATTATCAAGTCTGTTTTGTTGTTGGTAATATAACTTCGATAGCCGTTCGCAGAATAACCATTAAAGCTTCTGTGAAGGATGAASGCTCCAAAACACGATGGCTTGGTGTGTTTGTATTGTGAGTTATCAGTGGTTTTGTGATCAACACAACATGTGTTAATACAGGCTTATGTCAATATTACAAGCCATGGCGGAACAGAGTGAAAGACGTCACACAGAGTTCCTTCGAACCACGTCAGAGCGACTATCATCATTACTTTCAAAAATACTTCAATTTGATAAAAAAAGAGCCGTTTAAGATGTTGACTACAATGGGTTTTTTAAAACGAAAAGTAATTATTCAAATGTTCAAAACATTGTGCGAAGTTTTGCATCACTAGATCAATCAAAGCTTAAGTGAATTTGATATACGCGGTGATTTTGCATTGCTCTAGCTCTTACCTTGCTAATGTCCCCGATTCCACGGGATTCCACCACTTTCTCTTGAGATCTTYAACCAAAACTACTGCCGCTATGCACAGAACGGATGCACAACTTCACTTTAAGTATATTGTATATCAACGTAGTTATTGCGGAATGATTAGAAGTAACAACAACCAAAACCACGTATTTGATGATCCATGGCGAGTAGCAACTGATAACTCTCAAAAGAGAATCTATTTCGCTAGAGATTTTTGCACTTAGGGACGGTAGACCTGATTAGTTGTTGTTGCCTTAGTGTTAGTTAAGCAACAGTGCAGTACATCAGATGTTAGATGATCCTATTCAAACCCAGTCTCAAGTGGTTTATCCTGTGTTGTGATGTTTCTTCCTTCGGAAATACAAGGACACTGTACTCTGTCTAATTGTGTCACAAGTGACTAGAGTCAAATATACAATACATACATGTTGTTCCTTTGCAATTCGTTCAATATTCAAAAGACGGTCTCGTAACGAAGTTTCAATGCATCAACGAGCATTTACATGCGCATATCTTCATGATTGCAACCGCTGTTAGGATTCCTAATCACTTTTAAAACCAAACAGATTAAAATAACAAAAGATTAAAATAACAAAAGATTAAAATAACAAAAGATTAATTTTTAACTAATGATTTTACTGAGTGCGCGCTTTTATTTCACAAAATTAACAAGCGGTTGCATTTTCGAATCGTCTTAATAAAGCTCCCAACGYTGTGGCTTAGAACCAGAACCGACTGTAATAAAATCCCTAGGTTGCCGTAAATGTCATAATAAATATTCTATKATGGAAGTCATTGATACCAGAACATAATACTTCATACTTGGTRTCGTAGGGTGGAAATAACGCAATCGTTAATCATTATAAATTTATGACTGCAACTAACTATTTCGGGTTGAGAGCACGTTTGACGTGAGAACCAATATTGCAAGCGTCATGTTCATTTGTCTTGTATTTATTCGCTTTTTTTCATCTTTTAGATGATATCGCGCTTAGTCGGGTCTGGAATTTTTTACGGTAAGGGTTTTAACTTTTTTCCGGAGTGATTAACTCACTAACGAGATTAAACGCAATAATATGTAGCCATATCAATACGCATGCAGCCCTTAAATGTGAATGACGGAGTTAACGGCTTAATAAAGCGAGAGTTATTTGATGCTCAAAATTGATCCACGCACTTCATACGACTCTTCAGAAATAGATTCAGTGACCAGGGCCGCCAATAAATTGATCACGATTCCCGCCCATGCTTTACTAGTAAGGGGCGGGCGTAGTAAATCCTTGATCATGAGAGGGGAATTAAAGTGCGCACCGCTCTTRGAGTTCAGTCTCAGCTGGAATCGTAAGCTTTTAAATTCGACCCTTAAAACSGAGCACAGATAGATAGAATGGAATTAAGTGCGCACCGCTTTTTGAGCTCACTCTATCCCTGGTAGGTAGAGCTTTGAATACCCCGTTAACACGGAGCAATGATGGAGACTGAGGAGAATAAAGTGCGCACCGCTCTTCGAGGTCTCTCTATCCCTGGTAGATCGAGCTTTGAATACCCTTAACACGGAGCACTGATGGAAAGAGGGTTACAAAGTGCGCACCGCTTTTCGAGTTCTCTGTGTCTGGAGCTCGAAATTTGGTCCTTACAAAGRAGCACTGATGAAGAGAGAGGAATAATGTTCTCTACATGACACTAAATACAAATGTTTTGGTAATTCATGACTTATTTTCTTATTTTGTCAAAGTGGGTTTGCTTTTAACCGTATCTACGTGATGATAACCAGGTTCTATGGAATAGCAAACACTGTCTTTTCTGAACATAGTCCGTTGCCGGTTATTTTGTGACCACACTTTTCAGCGATGGCGCGCACACCCATCACCAGCAGCAGAACCGACATGAGTATCTATTAAATATAATGAATATAATGAATATCTATGAATGACATAAAATGGAAAATAATAGTTTCGATTTTACGGAAAAAATGAGATGTAAGAGGTTTGGGCTTGTTTTCATGGCCATCGGCTATCTATAGTGAATCGATGAATATTGAATCGCATGATCTCGCGCCTTGTTACAAGCCTCAAACGGTTMCAATTAACAACCACAAGACGACTATATTGCATTCTTCTTCCTGTGCTCCATTTCCATTACCTTGGCGCCTTTCCTCCCACTTCTAATTCCTTTTTTTCATTCATCCATTCATGTTAATATTAAGCGTGGGTATTGGTGTTTGTACATCCGTTGACCCTTCATACACCGACGCATTTTTTCCAGTGCTGAGTAACTTTCTCTGCACTTAATGTTTCGTCTAACCGTYCACTTAAACTTTTTATTTCATCCACGTCTTTCTTCAGGCATTCCTCATACCTGTAGTTGTAYAGTTTATAAGATTAATAGAATTACCCATAATACTTATTTTGGTATTCAAATCGTTTCCTTTCACTTCAAAAAGCTGTTAATCTAAAATCGTTATTTTCGTATAATGCTCGCGCAAAGGGTTTTCTTGGCATTTAAAAAGGCTTTGAATGACATTTAGTCATGGATATTCCGACTAAAGTGCAGCGAAAACACAATCTTATCAAACATGACATTTTYCTTGAAAAGCTTTGAACAGCTGACGTCAATACGGTGAGCGAATGGGGCAGGCAAGACATCATTCGCTTCCAAAATGAGTTTAGTGGTTGATTTGGCCCTTTATGAAARCTGAATAGCTTTAGCGAATCGAATCAAGACTCCGAATTGAATTTACCATTTTAAGAGCAAGGTCTCAGCAAGTACGAAAACAAAAAGTAATTGCTTAAGATAAGTGATGACATGTTATGGAAGCTGAGACAAGAAAAGATCGAAGAAAAAATCACCAGTAAAAAGAACAAAGATATTCATTCAAATGTTCAATTTGTATAATAAGGATGTACTTGTAAAATGCAACCCTATTATAGAACCAGATTATTCAGGGCACAAAATTAACGCTCTCAAACTAGCAAAATGCGGGTAAAATTTCGTATTTAGCGAGTGAAAAAACATTTAACTAGCGAAGTTTTGTGAGATGATCAGAGTCCAGAAATTGAAGGACTGAAAAGTTTAGAACCTGCAKCAAGTAAAGCTTGTTATTCACCACGTCCGATCGCTAGTGACTGAAATGTTTGCTAAGCAAAGTCTTGCTAGTGGGTTTAAAAGTTAATTTTGTGCCCTGRTAATTATTCATTGTTCTTTGTCGGAAAGAATAAACACATTTAAAAACATAAACCTCACATTTGGCAGCCATTAACTAGAGTATAGACTACGGCGGTCTGAAAACACTACGATAAAACGTCTGAATGCAAATCAAAGGCATTGTAAACTACTCTAATGTTTTTAATTTTTTGTCTTTTTTTCATTTTACATTATATTTTTACCCTGATATTTTTACTCCGKTTTTTTTTYYCGTTTTTTTTWWWAAGCTATTACACGACTTACAGAGTGGATCAAGCCGCTGTTGTTTCTCTCCTATTGTCTATGCATTTGTGGTCTTGTATGAATATCTGCCATGTCCACGAAGTCAGGGCTTGGGCTACCTGTTATTAAAATGATCGTGCATGGATTTGGAGCCTGGGCCTAGTATTCATTAAARGCGCGACTACRAGGAGCAATTTTCTCTGCAAATTGTCTTGCAACAGCGTTGCAACACGAGTTGCAAGAAGAGTGTTTACACGGTGCAACATAGACGCRATCGTTGCCAAAAGTAGAAACCAATTGTACTTTTTAAAAACGATTGCTGCAACCTATCTCGCAACATTTTTCAAATTGCGCTGTAGGTTACACGCTGTAATGTTCCAAAGTTGCAAGTTGCAAAGAAAATGCTCTTTGTAACCGCTCCTTGAGCATATGAAGGATACTGAGTGAAATGGATACTACGTTACGTCATTGACCGACGCGCGTCTAACATACTGCGCACATGCTTATTTAAGTCTACCGGAGATGCATGATTCCCCACCTCAATTGCTTTATGCAACGGCTAGTCGAATTTTATATGCCAGTTTACAAGCAGTAGCGCAACCATGATCTGCTCGAAGTCAACCGTCAACATTGACATTTTTTCGCAACTTCAATTGCGCGCAAATTAGTTGTTGTCAACGTTATATTATTATGTAACAAGCAAGCAATGTCTTTCTATTAGCACGCTCACATAAACTTAATAGATAAACGAATCAAGTTCTCGATATACTGGAAACCTTGAGCAATTTTCATAGACTGTCTTTAGCCGTAAGGATCAGCTGACTGGTGTTTGGTTGTGAACCTTACCGTGTAATTAAGAACTAAGATATAACTACATTATTTCCCCAGGATTTTTGTCAAATAAACAGGGGAAATGTGCTTCGTGAGCTCAAATGTACTCAAAATCGCTAGGTTTCAATCAGCTGGTAAAATTCTGAATCTCATTATCTGCTCCAAATGGTGTTCAAACACTGATCACCATGTGCTCTCAGCTAGAAAGATTCTATTGAAAACTTACGATTCAGCTGATGAACACCAGTTACGCACGAGACAGGAAATCCCAGCAATAAGAAACTCGTCTCGGTAAAGAAAATTCAAGAAGGCGACTAATCGGATTAGAGCTATATATATATCATGAGTAACAGATTTCATCACCAACTTTATGCCTTTGACCAATTAGAAACACAATCCTGCAGAGTAGTGCGGAATTTTGAATACCAATACTCTATTAGATCTATCTTCGTAAATGTTGGTAAATCTATTCTAAGATTTAAAATACACCCAAGTCAAAAAGTTATATTCACATTGTAGGCTCTATGTCAGATAGTTGTTTATTTAGTGGACTTTAGTTACTGCTTGGTAAAAAGGCAGTTTTCATTGCCGGCAGCAAAACCGTTCATGTGCGCCCATGGACATTATCAGCTATATAGCATGCGCAAGGTCTACCGTATTACATCATACATTCTTGTTAAAGTATAGTGGGAGCTCGTACACACTTCCTCAAAAAGGACCAAGCAGGGAAATATTAACTCATTTCAAATGTTGTTGGTGTTTGGTATAGGGAATCTATTGACCCAAGTGATAGCAAGGGCAAGGTACATCCTTTCTTTCCCCATGTTGTTGTTGGTATAAGGACTTTCTTGGCTCAAGTATAGTAGGAGCTCGTACAAACTTCCTTAATGTAAACCAAGCAGGAGGGACACAAATCACTCTTATGTTGCTGTTTGGTAGAGGGACGTCTTGGTTCAATTATAGCAGGAGCTCGTACACACTTTAACAATGTTGACCAAGAGGGAACACTGAACACTGTTACTGAGGGTCTTTTTAGCCCAAGTATATAGCAGGAGCCTGTACACATTTCCTCAACGTGTACCAAACAGGGACACTGGCCATGATGTCCCATAATCTTGCATGACATGGGAACTTTGTTGCCCCATATACAGGAGGTTTTGCATTCCCTCTAAGACACATTTCTCTTAGTAGTGCCAGTCAGGCTGGTACCAAGCGAACCAGTGACATTATGGACCACCAAATCACAGTCTCGTTTCCCTCGTTTTGAGAAGATAATCATGCTCAGTTTTAGTGAAAAGTGAAATGCAAGACCTGCGAAATTCGGGAATTTTGAGCGAGTAAACAATCGGGTTGATAGCACTGTTACTATAGTGAAGAAGTTTGACGAAAAATATCACATTAAAGGACAAGTTTTTGAGAAGTGAGACATGGAAGTTAGCGATAAGATTCATGATGTTAAAGGGAAGCCATGTGACGACAAAAACTACCGTAACGATCCCAAGAGCGATGAAAATGTTTCTCTCTTCACCAGGCCCAAGCAACCTGCTTCTTTTGTGTAAAAAGAATTTGATTTTGATCCAAACAGCGACATACACCACGATGATGATTCCAACGGAAGCAAAAGAACATATTGTCATTGTGTAGATGAATAGCCCCGGTGGTAGCATCTGAACCACGTTGGTCATCCAAAACAACCCAGAAATCAAGGCGGCCAAGAACCACAATATACCAATGACAATCATATAATACCTCCTTCGGGTAGAACGGTGAATTAGTGGCAGGAGTACAGCGTATAGACGCTCCAACGATATCACAGTCAGCGTGAACACCGAGGCAAGACCAGAAAATATATCTACTGCATTGTAAGCAAACTGGAAGAGGAGGAGAGTCTTGTTCATCGTTTGGCTTGACGCACTAAGGAAGTAGACGTACATTGGAAGGGCCAACGCCCCCACAAACAGGTCAGCGATGCTCAAACTAACGAGAAACCATCGTCGCAGCTTGCGCGGGGATTTCATGTAAATTAGAGCTAAAATGGAGATAATGTTACCAATAGTTATGATGATGGCTTCCACTGCGAAGGCAGTACACCAACCGGCATTGTTGTGGCTTGGCGCACTTTGATTCTGAAGAGAACTCGATGAATTGGACGAACTGTTCATCTCTGTACCTGCGAATGAAAGATGTGTTAAACCGTCAACACAAACCGCTTTAAAGTAATCCTTGTTTTGACAAAGTTTATGAAGACTAAATATAGCGCACACGGCAGTTCGTGATTACTAAGGAACCATACAGTGGCCCCTTAAGCATTTTGATTGGATGAACTTAAATTTGAACCACTGTAATTGGCTTAAACAGGCGGGGCTCTTGTCGTTACTCGGTACACACATTTCAACACTAGAATTAAATGATTTGTGAATCAACAGGATCACGTTTTCCCTGTAGTTTTTAATTAACATTTATTATAACCCCTACATCATCAATCGTTAATCAAATTCTCTCAGATTAAAAATTTCATTGAATTTGTGTGTCCTTTTCTATGGCTTAAGGCTGAACGTTTTGTGTGTTGAAATGATCAAACATTGCGCAAATGAAGTACATAAGCCAGTGATTGAAGTCTAGTGTTATTCATTAGCAATGAATCGCAGATAACTTATTGAATTATTCAATGATAGGAACACTGTTGTGCGGCCAGGGTCACTTGTGTTATAACGAATGATTTTAATCAACGCTAATGGCACAGTGGATGAATGTCAAGCGTTGCACTGTTTTTTATTTATTCTCAGATAATGATGGTCTGAACGGGGAAAACAGTACGCCGCGTCGTAAGCGAAGAGGCCAATTTTGTTCATTTCCCAATAATGAGTATTTAAAAGCATAGTATTTTCAAATCACTATTAATCAAGCCACCGAACAACGCGCATGTGCACATTTCATCATTTCCCAGTATTCTCAGTAAACCGAAAAGCAAGCACTGAGAAGAGAGATCGAGTTCAATGTAAATGACTTTCCTAAGTTAAGCCTCATTGATGTAAAGAAAAGAGCTGAAGCCAATCGTAAATTAAGAAAGATTTTTTTCGAGAAATATTAGCTTGAAGAAAAACAAACTTACAAACACAGCTGACAATGAGAATTACAATGACTTGAACATCTGGCCTAAGAGCCCTGTATTGATTTGTGATAGAAAAATAGGAATAATCTCTTAATCGCCCTTAGATATCAGGAATAAATCGGATTTTATCCATTCGCCTGTAAACAATAATAATAATAATAATGATAATAATAATAATAATAATAATAATAATAATAAT